ATGTAAGAAAAGAAGCAACATTGACACGGAGCAAACAAAAACTAGTCAATCTTGCAAACACAATTGAGCCAAACACTGTTCGGAATTTACTTGAGTGACCTTTGAATTAGCAGAGTCGTTTTTTCTAAGCAAAATTTTCCCATTTGATGTCCAACAATATTGGTAGTGCTGTTCTTTAGCAAAAAGTCGACAGCGATTGAAAAGCTTCCTAGCAGCAGGCAAAAGATGTTCGTCAACATATACAGGGCGTACTTCACCAGGCATATCCAATGTCTTTGTGTTAAGCTTCTCAGCCCGTGGTCGCTGTCTGTTAAATCCTCGTACTGCATTCAAGAAATTGTTTTTCCTGAAGACTGTGTTAAGCTCCGCAACTATGATTCTAGATGTTCCAGGCTTACCAGGCAAACGATAAATATCGCGCAAATCAGTTTGAGAGACGTCAGCGCTACAAACTCCCGCGATCTTTGCAAAGAATGTCATCAAGTCTCCTACACTTTCCCTCTCCCTGTTAGGCACGTTGCGAAGTTGAATGGTTGTTGATCTAGAAGCCATCATCATATCTTTCAATTTATCCTCCATAGTTGACAGGGTTTCCGAGTTTTTACTAACGTCTTTTTCTAATACTTCGATTTTAACTTTGATTTCCTCGTATTTAAGGTTAACAAAGTCCACGGCCTGTTCAAGTTCCGCATTTGATTTCCGTATCAGTGTACACTGCTCCTTCAGCTCCGACATATCCGTCACCAGCTTGGATAGAGTGTGTTTCTGTTCAGTTCTCCATTGAGATAGCATTTCTCGTAACTCATCTTTAAAACTATTCAGTTCAAGTTCGAAGTTAAACTTATCGGATTCTTTCTGTGATTTAACACAGGGGTCTTTTTTACGAAAAGTTATATTGTCCATATTTTCTCCTTGAGAGGACGTAGACAGTATATTCGAATCAGGGCCAGATGGAGTTTTATTTGGAATTGAGTTAGGTGTTTTAGGTGGAGTTCTAGAAACCTTCGGCATTATCTCAGTCCAAGTACTAACTGACAGAACAATAAGAACCTAATTGTAAATATGCTAATCAAGTTACCTTAGGCGCTGTTCAACAATATATTCAGAAGCGACACGACCACAGCGTCTCACGTAGACAGCAATTAGTAGAATGAAGGCGTAGAAGCGCGTAGTCACCCGCGTAGCCGTAGCAGTTTGACGTCACTGAGCGTAGCTGCTTTTACTCGATGCGGTGTAGAATTTCGCTGTGCAACGTCACAGTCAGCTTGGTTCAATGGTGCGCGGGTCCGACACTCCGGCTGCCGAGCGCGCAAGGCGAGGGTTCGAAACTCAGCCCACCTCGTCCTCGGGCAACAACCACTCGATGCAGAGGTAGCTGGCAAAACTATTTCTGTCTCCTCCGTGGGTGGAGCCTCCTCGTAAGAGCACCTCTAGAGCAAGCGGGAATTGAGAAAGCGGTTTTAAGCCAATCACGAATTTTAAAAATTGAATATCACTTCACAAATCAACACAGACCGACACACGTCCACTCTGTACGACGACCGGGCGTGGAGAGAATGACTATGACTATGTTGAGTGTGTGCGTTATTATTATTATTATCAAATATTGATAAAATATTCACAACTAATTTCAGTCGTTTTGTAAGCAATCCAAATTTGTCAGTCCAATACTTCGTCTCTCGAATAGCATTATCTGTGAGGTTCATAAGTTCCTCTCACGGTAAGGTGCTTTTTCACCGACGACGCGAAACGATACGAGGCCACACGAGAATTGAAATCTCACCGGCCTATGTCGCGAGATCGTGCTAAAGTTGAGGATAGTAAAATTAAAATATTGAAACACCAATACAGCAAATGACTTGGTTTATAGAAAAGCCTATTTTATCTTAAATCGTACGTATCACAGTCTAGCAATTGATAGTAACAGCCATAGCGAGACTGTGCAAGGCATCGCATGAATCGTGTTTCCATTGCATAGTTAATTTAACTATATGTAGGTAGCAATACGGTTCAATATTACATCAACAAATAATTCCCAAGATAGTGCATCTTAGGAGGGAATGGAAATTTTGTCATACAAATTTCAATCACCGTCTCGCCTCGTTTCTTTTCACTTCCCTGGTGGAAAAGCACCTTTACTTAAAGCGAGTGTTCGTTTAATGTAAAAGACAGCCCGATAGGTACTTTGTCTTTCCGGCTCTGTGATGTCAAAAACTTGACAGATAATTAGTAGACACAATGGCTTAAATTATGACATTAGCTTACAATAGGAGTGAGTAGGAGAGAGTGAGTTGTAAGCTTTCTTGTTGATAAATTCATGACGCTTGATAGAAAATGGAAAACACATAAACAAAACATAACCCCATCGAGTATATAACCAGATACTCCATGCGTAACCAAGACAACAAAATATAGACGAGTGATATGAAATATTAAAAAGTATGTTATATTAGGTCTCCGCTGTTAATTAGTTGGAGGGCGGGTAGCGTCTGGTCGGCGTGTCGGGGCGTCAGCTCTTGCCCTTGTCCATGGTCACGTGGTAGAGAAGGTGACCCAGTCTCTCGGTCACTCTATATGACCATTTCTCGCGTATTGTTTGCATGTAATAATTATGGACTTACACTCTATAACAGAGTTACAGATGATACACAAAGATAACGTACATAAGGCAACAATCTACAAATAAGTACCTAATATGAAATTTAAAAGTAAATTAAAAAAGTAAAAAACGCAGGAAGAAAATATAATCGAGGGAACAGGCCTACGAGCTTAATACCACTACTTAATTTCTGAAGTCGTTAAGAAACATAAACCAAAGCGAATCATGATTTCATGATTTTAGTAACGTCCAGTGAAGTACTGGCACCTTACTTATTTCTGCCGCCAAGCAGTAATGTCAGATTACTGTTTTCCGGTTTCAAAGGGTAAGGGTGCTAGTGAAATTACAAGCACATGGGACTTGTCAAGTTATGTCTGAGGTTGACGAGCGCAGTGCCAGTGCCCCTCAGATCTATGCGATTTAAAGCTCTGAGTGGTACTGCAGGCGCACGACATATCCGTCCTGTCACTTAAAAAATATTTCAACATTTTTTAAGACTCCGGATCTTGCCAGTATCTGTGCTGATTCGGACAGCTAAGGACTCCTTCCGCAGGTGTTTCACCCCACCAAAGTTTAATAAATACGTCTCCTTGTAACTTCAATACTTTTAAAATTAAAAGTTAAGCCACGACACCCATACGAGTACGCGATTGCAGAATTAATTAAGTTCTCTCTGAGCGCAACAAAGGCATATAATTAAAACGGAAAAAATATATAAGATGATACCGACTCGTATTTACAAGTAGTTCAATTAATGAACTATACACGGTAAAAACAGATTACTTAGAAAAAGACAAAATTCTTTTTATAAAGACAAATTTATTAAATCCAACAAAACGATCCTCCCCCTATAGACGCTAGAGAATAATTACTTGTTAATAGTAAAAAAACGTCTCAAAAGTGTATTTTCGTTACAAGACAGAAATATTTAATCCAAGAGCAAATTAATTTACTTCAAGTCACAAAGCAAGTCTAGATTCAACAAAATATTTATTTGTTATTAGAAATGTCCGATTTTGATTAGAAAAAAAAAGAATGAAAAATTGAGAGGTAGTTAATTATTTGACTGAAGATTCATGTTTTCTAATATCAAAAAGGGTAAATTTACAGGGTTATGGACCCAACAGTATGTTTCACTGGCGTGAAAGCTCACAGTTCAGTGCGAAACCTTAAAGTAGAGGTGGGTGATAAATAACGTCACGATGAAAAAATCACGATGATCCGTCGTCAAACAGTATTACCGTGACTCGTTCCGAAGGAACGACGTTCCAAAATCACATAGGTGTTCCTCCGTTCCAATAGCTATCCCCGTCACTCACATCACGACATACGTATTTGATACAATGCGCGATCTCCGTTCCGTGGTGACTGAGCGCGCCACTTGTTGTAGTTCCCTTCAAATCGGGCCATTTCGGCGATGGGAGTGAATGAAATAGGATGACTTTCTTTGCTCACTCACAAGGGTCGTAGGTGCTTATACTACTAGAAAGGGCGGATGAAAAAATCTGCAGCAGTTATTATACACCTATTTATAAACAAAATAAAATATTTTTGTATATTTGTTTTATTATAGGAAGAGTTATTATAGAGTTATTATATAGGTATTTTATATTTATGTATAATCTACTTTGTGTATATTCTACTAGAAATATAATTACATTACACTTTATTGCTATTTTTAACAATCCAAAGATTCGTATTAAATAAGTAACAAACAAAATTACATTAAATACAAAATCAACTTTTTGAATGGAATTGAAACTTATACAAAGGGAGTAAAAACTTAAATCATTCTATAAAAAACGGCTATAAGTATTAGAAAGAAGCCGCTGGCTAAAACCGTGTATCGTGATGTAAGTTATAGGCGTGACAAAGTCACGGAAGTATTAGTCGTGACAAAATCACGATGATTTATCACTGTGATTTTTTTGGAACCGGAACGACAGTCACGGCGATAGAAATGTAACGTTATTCCCCATGTGTACCTTAAAGTAGCAGAAATAGGACTGAAATATTATCAAATACTTGATGACCATTCAGTGCCGTATAAATGCGACTGCAGCAGAAAGCACTAACATTTCTTATTTTTTTGAAGGATATTTTGCAATTGGCCGCTGATGGCCTTTACTGCGCCACCGGAGAAAAAGGGCGAGCTGAAGGCTCATAACCCCTGAAATAAACTTAAAGCTAAGTAGCGGGCCTGAGGGCGCCCAAGTGGGCACGGACCTCGGCTCAGGGCGCTACTGGAGACTTCCGCCAGAAGGGCGTGCTGTAGGAGAGAATCTACCACTGTACGTGCTGAAATGAGAGACTCGACGACCTCCCCGGCGAGGACGGTTGGTGCGTGAGGGACGGGACTGACTAGCGATCTGGTTGGCCTTCAAAGTCATCATCATCATCATCAGCCTATTGCAGTCCACTGCTGGACATAGGCCTCCCCTAATGCACGCCATTTCGCCCTGTTCTCGGCTTGACGCATCCATTTCCTGCCAGCAATCTTCCGCAGATCGTCACTCCATCTGGCTGGAGGGCGTCCCACACTACGTTTGCCAAGTCGTGGTCTCCACTCAAGAACTCGTTTACCCCAGCGGTTGTCGGTTCTTCGGCAGATATGTCCAGCCCACTGCCACTTCAGCTTGCTTATCCGAAGAGCTATGTCGATCACTTTGGTTCTCTGTCTGATAACCTCATTACGGAGTTTATCTTTCAGAGAAACTCCGAGCATAGCTCGTTCCATAGCTCGCTGAGCGACTTTAAACTGGTGGACTAGCCGTATCGTGAGTGTCCACGACTCAGCTCCGTATGTTAGAACTGGTAGGACGCACTGGTTGAAAACCTTTGTTTTCAAGCTCTGCGGGATGGGCGACGAAAAGACTCGACGTAGCTTCCCAAACGCTGCCCAGCCAAGCTGAATCCTCCTCCTGGCCTCCTTCTCGAAGTTATTTCTACCTAACTGCAGAATCTGCCCGAGGTAAGTGTATTCGGAAACAACTTCAAGAAGGTGGCCATTGACGCAGATGGGTCTCGGATCAATGTGGCCATTGATCATGACATTGGTTTTATCAAAGTTCATGCCGAGACCAATCCGCCGCGAGGCGGATGCTAGGCTGTTCAGCATCTGGTCCAGTTCCTCCAGCGATTCTGCCATTACGACTATGTCATCTGCAAATCGCAAGTGTGAGATGTACTCGCCGTTTATGTTAATGCCCATCCTTTTCCAGTCCAGCGTCTTAAACATATCCTCCAATGCAGCGGTGAACAGTTTCGGGGATATGACATCCCCCTGTCTCACCCCTCTGCGTAATTGGATAGGTTCAGACTGCTGGTCCTGTACTTGGACACTCATGGTAGCAGCATCGTAAAGACATCTCAACACTTGTATATAACGATAGTCCACTTGGCACCGCTGTAAGGATTCCAGGACAGCCCAGGTTTCGACAGAGTCAAAGGCCTTCTCATAGTCCACGAAAGCTAAACACAGGGGCCGATTATACTCTTCGGACTTCTGTATAATCTGCCTCACTGTGTGTATGTGGTCTATGGTGCTATATCCTCCCCGAAACCCGGCCTGTTCCGGTGGCTGAAACTCGTCGAGTCTTCTTGCGAGGCGATTCGTGATGACTCTAGAAAACAGCTTGTAGACGTGACTCAGGAGTGAGATGGGTCGGTAGTTTTTCAGTAGAGTTTTATCTCCCTTTTTAAAGAAGAGAACTACAGTACTCCTGTTCCATGCCCGTGGAGTTCTCCCGCAGTGAATGACCAAGTTAAAGAGCTTCTGAAGTTCCTGGATAATAGGAACTCCTCCAGACTTCAAAAGCTCCGAAGTAACTCCGTCTTCACCGGGGGCTTTTCCATTTTTAAGCTGTTTTAGAGCCAACACGATCTCGTCTTGACTGATTTCTGGCAGGTCGTCGGTATAGTGGCGCGTCAAAGTGGCTCTCAAATCGTGATTGTCACGCTGGACCCGAGGAGTATTTACAGCGTACAAACGGCCATAGAAGTCCTCTATCTCGGCGAGTATCTGCGGCTTTGACGTAACGGTTAGGCCATCGTGTGTTGTAAGCTTCGTCAGGTGGCTCCTTCCAAGCTGCTGAGTGAATACTTTGGACCCTCGGTTTCGCTCTATCGCCTCCTCAATGAGGCGTGTATTGGAGCTCCGAAGGTCACGCCGTACCATCTTCGCAATCTGCTTGTTTAGGTATGACCTCTCTGACGAAGTGGCCTGGATGTCATCGCGTCTTTTCGTCATAAGTCGCAGAGTCCCATCCGAGAGTTTAGACTTCTTTCCCGTACGCTGCAATTGACAGAATTTGATGCCCTCGCTTCTCAGTGTCCCAACCACGCCTTGTAGGGCCTCGTCAACGTCCTCGGTGGGTTCCAGCTCGACGAATCTCGCTTCGAGAAGTTCATGGAACTTCTCGGAGCCCGCCATGATCTGGAGTGGATTAGGACGGAGCGTGGACTTCATCAAGGGGCTTCTTTCAAGTTTGACATCGATATTCAGAGAGCCTCGTACAAGTCGGTGATCAGATCCGGTGCTAAACCTGTTGATCACTGAGGCCTTCAAAGTGGCGAGAGTGATAAGGTCGTCAGGGTCGTTGAGGACTTCTCTTGGCCGACGGGTCCTATTTACGCGGTGGGGTTGTTCCCTGAGGGGGTCGTAAGAAGATGCAGCCACTACGAGGGGGTTGGGGCGGTGAGGAGCAGAGTCGGAGTATTTCCTCGATGCCTGTTTCATGAATTGGGCTAATGTGGGGAGCCGTAAATCTATATGGAGGTTAGCGTTGCGCAGGTACCACGGGGCACCCGTCGCGTTGCGCATGAATCAATTTTGGAGAGCCTGCAGGCGGTGTATTAGCGTGAGATTTGCCTGAGCGAATGCGACACTGGCGCACGTCATGATTGGGCGGATGCAGGTCGTGTACAGTCTCACCTTATTGCGAAGGGAGAGTTTGCTATGCTTGTTGAGAAGGGGATGAAGCCGGCTCATAACAAAGTGGGCGCGACCGCGGACGGTTTTCACGTGTGCTTTGAATGACAACTTCCTATCGAGCGTAACTCCTAAGTATTTTACCGTGTTCACCCAAGGGATTAGGCGGTCAAACAGCGAGATCGGGGTGAGGTCTTGTACCCTACGACTGGATAGGTTACTTCGCGTGAAGAATACCGCCGCGCTTTTGTCGGGATTGACTTCGATTCTCCATCTGCGAAACCACTCGCCTAGGCGTGTAGTGGCAGATTGGAGAGCCGCGGAAACTAGCCTGGAGCTGCGCGCCGAATAGTAGAGCGCAGTGTCGTCGGCAAAGAGGGCGAGATTTACTGCCTGATACTTCGGGATATTGCAAGTGTACAGGGAGAATAGGAGAGGCGAGAGGACAGAGCCTTGCGGGACTCCAGCTCTTACGGGGTGAGGGGAGGAGATTGCGCCCTCAACTCGGTAGCGGAAGGAGCGGTTCGACAAGAAGTCACGAATGATGTGCACGAGACGATCAGGCACGCAGAGATTGTACAGCTTGTAAAATAAGCCGTTGTGCCAGACTTTGTCGAAAGCTTTTGACACATCGAAGAAGAGGGCGCCGGTGGGCATGAAGCGGGGGCGATCGAAACCTTCGGAGATATGTTCCACTATGAGGTGCACTTGCTGAACGCATGAGTGCCTAGCTCTGAAACCGAACTGTTCGTCGGGGAGGAGATTGTGAGACATGACGTAGTCTCTGAGGCGGGCATATAGGATGCGTTCATAGAGTTTGCCCATGGTGTTAAGCAGGGAGACGGGACGGTAACTGGAGGGTTCAGATGGAGGTTTCCCGGGCTTGTGAATACCGATGACCACCGGCTCTTTCCACTTTTGCGGAAAGATGCAGTTGGTCAGAGCGGCGTTAAAAATGGCAGTCAGGAGACAGATGAGGGGTGCAGAAAGCTGTTTAAGCACCTTGTTGGAGATACCGTCAGGGCCTGGGGCTTTGTGGGGCTCAAGGTCCTTTATGAGCGATTCTACTTCCTTTGGGGTGACCGGGGGGAGAGGAGGGTCGGAGGGCGGGGGGTTGCTATGAGTTCGACCTCGGAGTCCACCTGGAGGAGGTGGGTCGGGTTGACCGGCTCTAGACTGGGGGAGCACTGGGCTTCGAGGCTGTTAAGTCGGCTAAGGGGGGGCATTTGGGCAACTGTGCCGGACTTGAGAGAACGGGTTAGTTGCCAGAAGGCTTGGTGGGTGGGCTCGAGCTCTTCTAGGAGCTTTTCTCATCTACTTTGACGTACAGTTTGGCGCATATATGTAAATAATAGGTTATTTAATAAGATTTATGTATGTATTTAGGTTAATATTTTATACAGAAATAAATTTATCTTTATCTTTATCTTTACCTCGTCCATACGCGTCTTTACGTGCCTCTGTAAAGCCCGTAGGAAACGACGGTTTTCGTCGGTGGGGTAAGAGTCGTAAGCACGAGTGGCTGCGTTCTTTTCCGTTGGAAGGGCACGCACATCCTCCGGTAGGCTCCAGCGACCGTCGTCCGTCGCCGGTGCCGGCCGGGAGCTGTTACAAACGGCGGTTTGTATGTGTCCCTCTAGACGGTCAATAGCACAGTTGGCGTCTACGACTGAAGAAATCTCGTCCGTCTCGTCGAGGAAATTGAGGTCATGACTCAACTTCCCCCAGTCCAACACCGATTTAACGGGGGCGCAAGGGTCAGGGGGGGCTATGTCCGAACGAGGGGAGAGGTGAAGGAGGACAAGGCGGTGATCCGAAACTAATTCATGAACGACGTGAAAGTTAGAATAAAGTTAAGAGTAAAATTGTATTAGAAAAAGATAAACAGTATTTTTGTAATGACAATATTTTATTACTTTTAATAAATATTTTTTCAGAATTAGCAAATTTTTTGAGAAATTTCTCTTTCTTATTAGTAGAAATCCTTTTTTTCTGTGTAGTTGTCGTGAAAAATAATGACAAATAAAGATATATAATGTGTGTGTTTACTTAATACATAGGGCGCACTATAAGTTTCCGGAACTGGCCACTTACATAAACAATATTTAAAAAGTAATTACAACATTTGAAAATGCAACTCTTTGGCTGTAGAATACAGTTTGTTTCATCGAGTGTCACTTGTATTTACATTGTGGCGTTATTTTAGAAATTGGTTGTCTACATCACCTTGGATTTAACTCGTGAAAATTTTCGTAATTTAACAGCTCAACGGAGCTTCGCTCGACTTCAAACTGCTTTTGGCGATCAAGCACCATGCAAGACGACTATTTATAGCTGGTTTTGCAGAAATCAAACGCGGTTGTGTGAATTTCAATGACGAATTTCGTGATGATCGCCCTGGAAGGGCGAACTGCTGTGAACAACAAAAACATCGATGCTGAACGTATAATCAAAACAGACAGGCATGTAATATACCATGAGATTCGGGCATCTATAGGCATAGGCATGAGTCAAATGCTACACAAACATTTGGGTGTGAAAAAGCCTGTGCTCTCGGTGGATCCCATACAAATTGACTGAGGCTCAAACAACGGATCGCGTCACTTGGCGCAATGCCATGCTTACCAGATTCAATGAAGGGGCGTCAAATTTGGTGTAGGACATAGTAACAGATGACGAAACATGGATTTATAGTTACGATCCTAAAACAAAGCAGCAATCGAGCATATGATTCTTTTGAGATGAGCCGAAACCAACCAAAGTTGCGCGCGTGCAAAGTGCCTCTATGCGGACGATTGCTTCTTTTTTAATAAAACTGGACACGTGGCTACAGTTGCTTTGGAGAATCGTTTTACCGTGAATAGTGCACGATTGGTACACGACCATATGTTTGCCGGAGGTTATTGAAAAACTCCGTAAAAATAACCGTAAACGCCGTATCATCTTGCACCACGATAATGCCAGTTCTCACATGGACAGACAGACAAATGAATTTTCGAAGGTGATCAATGTTGAACTTATGAGCCATCCCGCGTACAGTATGGACCTGGCACCTTGTGACTTTTATTTATTTCCAAAAATTAAGAACCAATTCGCGGTCAACGATTTCATCACCTGAAGAGGCTCTCGAAGAGTATGAAAAATGTGTTTCGGAGATTCTCACGGATAAATGTTTTCAAAATAGGTTAATTCGTATGAAAAAGTGTATTAACGCTAACGGAGAATATTTTGAGAAACAATAAATGTATTTTTTTCTTACTCATTCCGGAAACTTATAGTGCGCCTCGCGTATGTATATGCGTAGTATACATATTAATATACAAAGTGTTAAAATTCTTTATTAAACATTTTGCTTATACTTAGTGTCGCGAACTCCTTGCTCTTTTATATTCATTTTCTATTGCTTTTGGTTTTCGATGTGTTTTATTTTGCATTATTATTGATGTTTTTATTATCAGTCTATGAGTCGTGCGTTATATTTGTTATTAAATTTTATTTCAGTATTTATGTTCATTTTCGCTTTTCCTCACTATTTTTAGTTACTATTTTAAAGTATTTATTTCTAAAAAAGTAGCTAAGAATTCAACGGTGGACTAAGTATACATGGATGATAACTACATTGATAATAATCATTATGCTTCAGTGTCAGACTAAAACTAAAAGAGCCGATACGTAGCTACCTGAATAATACTTCATTATACATAGGATACATATGAAAATGCCTTGAAGTTAATTTTAATCAAACATTTCTGTTAATATATAATCGAATAATTCAGCAACCGAATTAGTTATGGCTTATATAATAGGTTAATGACGATATAAAAACTAACCAAAAATAATATTTTAATAAACAAAAGTGATAAATTTCGTAGAGGTTCTTTGTAAATCAGAGTTCATTAACCTCAAAATTATGAAGAATACAAATTTTTCTTCCATGAGACGCGTGGATATAAGCGATAATTGAATTGTTGTACTCATAGGAAGGGCTAGTCGCTGACGTCAGAAGAGGGAGGCCGCGATTGTAATACTAATATTGACGGATGATTGTTTATTTCACAGAATATGCAGGACAAAACTAATAAAATAAATATATAGTATCTACCCTTAATATATCATAGCTATTGTCACCCTTACCCTTCCGAAGTAGAATAATGGCGGCAGATACATAAACAGAAAAGCAAGATCTTTTGACAAAAAAGTCCAGACCCTTTGGGTAATTGGACCGGAGAGCTGTTCTAATGAAGATTAAGATCCTTTACCACTGTTATAGGGAAGCTGTTTTGAAAAAAAACATCACTTTTTTCACAAAACGAAATTAATTGACAGGTGAGAAAGAATAAAGTGCTCAGAAGTAACGAGCGGAATATGTATGACAATCATCGTTTTTTTTTTCTAGACATGGGTATTTTATAGAATATATATAATATAATATATAAAGTGCCGACGAGGTACGCGTTGAGATCATATAGTAGTTACTGAACATGAGGGTTCGCATGAATGGTTTGAGAATGGTTTCCGGTACAAACATAAAGGACATTGAGATTGTGGTCTTTGCGGATTAAACCATCTCCATTGAAATAGACCAAGACTCGACTCTATTCCTGCTGTCCAGAGTGTTCAGTTAAGTGGGCGTGAGGAAGTGGGGGTCAAGCGAACCGACCTACTTTCCTTTAGCGTTGAAATCCTGGTGAAAGTCCAGGTGAATAATGGTGAATTTTCGGAATTCCGCAACAACTACAACACCGGCCCAAAGAACAAGCCGGCGGGATAGTACCACATATATAGATTTTAAGACTTTCGTGGTTATTTACTAAATGATTATCACTAATATCAGGTTTCTTACCACGGTATGACTTCTTTTTATTTTCCCGATATTTCGGAATGGTTGCACGCTCCATGGTTAGTACCACATTACTCTTGAGTCTTTCTCCGGGGTTGAGTATTTCTCTCTGTAAACAGAAAAATGAGCATGCGTGAGGGAAAGAGAAGCCATTGGAAACAAGGACTCTTTGAGTGTGTTGCACCGTAAGAGCGGGCGTCGCTATTGTCATTAGTAGCTCAAGAAGAAAGGCCTTTTATTGGACCTCGCTGTCGTCGAAGAGCTAACAAAATGATTTACAAAGATAAGGTCGTCCTTTAGAGTCCATCACCCTTCAAAAACGGAACCCAGTAATGCTAATATTACTGTTTAGCCGCAGAAATAGGTATGGTGGCAGTACTTCCCTGGACGAACTCTTTCTACTGTTACTTAAAGTAGTAGAGGTTCGTTTGTGTACAGGATGTAAGACCACCACATTACATACTTCAAATTGTCACTAAAAGACAAAAGACCGGCTGGCAGTGGTTTTTAAAACATTTTCATAAAGGAATTTGTAACAATAGATTAATAAACGGACAGTAACTAATGCAGTTGTGTAGACAGACAATACAAAAGACTAAAAGTACAACAAAATCGTAACTATTAAGGCTTAATCGATATATTTTTTAAACTAAGATGGAATGAAAAACGGAGCTTTGATAAAAAAAATCATTATCTACCCGAGTTCGGTTACACAATATGGCTTCATGAAAGACAAGTTCATTCAAAATCATTCAGATTATTTGAGATTCAGGCTACAATGTTATTTATTTAGGGTTGTCATTAAATGTTCTTTATTAAAAATAATAATTAAAAAGTGTATGACTTTTAATAGGTATTGATCGTTGCTTTCGTAATTATTTTTAATTTAATTTCAATTAATTAATTTACCTACTTATTACCCGGTTTTCATAATTATAAAACCCGGGGAAAGTCAGAAGGATATAGTGCACATGATAATTTTTTTAAACTTTATTTGTTATTTTTTTATACATTCGTAATTGGTATTTAATTTGGCCTAGCTACATTTATGTTTCAACTATTATTGTTTGTTATAAGAGCTACTTTAATATGTAAAATTTAGAGATATCTACATACGTATACTAATGAACATATTTAAGAACCTTTGGATATAAAACACTGGAAACATCATCGATAGGCAGTCAACTCTGTCAAGGTCACAAAACAATAAATACAGTAGAAGTGGTTAGTTAGTTCAGCACGCGTGCCAACTGTAGGCGTAGTTTTGCCTACTTGAGCTCAGATAGCCATTTTCGCTTTGTACACTATAGTTGTGCCAATTCTTTCGAGCAAATTCTCTAAAATCGTAGAACAATGCCTTATAGTGCAGTTTTTGAATGCCAAAATATAATAAGTATAATTATAAACTAAACTGTCTTCGTGGCCGAATGGTTACCATACTGGACTGCAACGCAGAGGTCCCGGATTAGATTCCCGTGCCATAGTGACACAACTCGTTATTGCGTTATTGCATTTGAGTACCTGTTTGATGTAGTTAATACCCTCCCGCCCCTCAAAAAGTTTTGTTTGAGAAACAATGCTTATAGTGTCTCCGTTGCTATATGCTCTAAGTTGAACATATAACATATTTAAGGCATATACGTATAGGAACGTTAAAAAAAGGTTGAATTATGATAACAATGTTCGTATGAGCCACTGACCAGGTCACAAATTAGAAAGGTATATATAGTAGGTCACCAACATATATCAGAACGTTTGAAAGAAAACGACAAACAGTTTTGAAGTAATTATTTTTTCAAACTAATCATTCTGATATATTATGTGGCCAGCATTTCATGTCAAATTTGTTTTCATAATTCAACCTTTTTCAGCGTTCCTCTCATTGACCTACCAATAAATTTATTTTATAATTAATATCTAGCATTCACACTCGTTGTTGTTAGTAGGTTCCTTTGAAAGTCCAAGTGTATGAATTTGTA